CCAAGCCTGTGGCCGCACACCCGCTTTCTAGAGCGGCCCGTAAGAACTGTAGCTTTCCTTTCCACGGCTGAGCCAAGTTTAGGGTCTCAGTAATTACTTGAATGAGTGCATCGTTGAAAGACGCCCTTATGGCTAAAGCAATAGGAAAGCTCTGCAGAGTCGATAAGTGATGTCTCCAACCCAGGCATGAGTTTTTGTGCATATCTCTACTAGCTGTTTCCAGGGATGAAATTTTGGATGCCAGAGACGGGCAAGCCACCCTCCCGCACACTGTTTCTCTGTGTCACACACTCACCCTCGTACAGAGGTCGTGGAGCATTGCCAATGTTCCCAAGCAGAGCCTTAAGAATCCTGCCCAACCCTTGGCATCAGGCTGCTTGGTAGAGAAAGTGACCCCACTCATTTCCTGCCATTTCTGTTCAAGATAAGACACAACCAGATGCCTTATGCAGGACTGAGCAACTTCTCTGCAAGGTCCTCATTAAAATTCACTTTGATCCTCCTCCATAAAGGCCTGTGTGCATGTCCAGCCACACCCTCAAAGCATTCTGGATAGAGCACAATACACACATGTGCGTGCACATGCGAACACACACACACACACACACACACACACACACACACCATCTTACACTGAAACTCAAACTGGCTTACAGTTAGTTCCCTATCAAGAATTAATGCAATATCATGCACACACCATTACTGAAAAATTCTACGCTGTTTTTTGCCAAGTGTTCCTATATAACAGTTTTATCACAAGTCTGACAGCCTCCATAAAAATTCCAGGCATTCTATATCAACAGCCCTCTTTGTACTAAGTTATTAAACATTAAATTTTTATTCGTCATTTGTATTCTGTTATGCAAAATAAGCTCCTTGATAAGATGTGTCTTCTTAATTGGGCCCTTGATGCTTCTTGGATCGGAGTTGTCAGATTAGCTGGAAGAAGAGGCACTGCGTCGAGCCAGCTAGCTACCAGGAGACCAATAGCTTTGTAACAACGATATTAAGTTAGAGAGGCCAAGTGGAGGGCAGCGCCAGGCTCAGGTGAGGGTTTGCATCTGTGCATGTCTTCTGCTCAGGCACTTTTCTCCTGGCATCAGCAGGGCTGATGGAAATAGATTTGTTTGTTGTTTACAGCATGCAGCTGTGGGCAATGCTGCATGGGAGTTGTATAAGATTGAAGCAAATTTGTACTGAGACTAAAATACGGAGCTTTGCTCCCGTCAGCAGTCTCTGGAATCTTATTGTCGAAAACTTTATCTAGTTGTAACCTTCCCTAGGGTGATTTCCATTTGCAGCTGCCCTGTTCCGTCTCTCATCTCCTGTCCCCCACCGCCACGGCGGCGTTAGTACTTAGCGGGAGCCAGCCAGCCCCGGCCGGAGCTCCGGCTCCTTCCTGACAGGGCCACACACAGAAGGACCTGGCGACAGGGCAGCCATTTTCTCTCCCAGCCCTGCCCCGGCGCACAGCCCGTGCTGCCAGCCCCTGGCTACTGCCGCCTGCGCCTGGCCGGAGAGGCTCCGGGGACCAGGGACGCTGCTTTCCAGTCTGGCATGGACGGCCGGAGAGCCACTCGATCTTCCAGCAGGGGAACTGCAGCTGACAATAAATTATTTGCTGTGTGCTGGAGCACATGCATGCACCTTTCCAGAGATCATTCTAATTTTACCCGGGGAGGCCTGTTCTGCTACTGCAAGTCTGTCTTTGTCCTCAGATGCTGTTGGGAGGAAAAGGGGGGAAAAAACTTTCTGGGGATCCTGGGGTAACATCAATTACTCAGTGGAGACACACGCCTCCATTGTCAGGGCCAGCTGGCCTGGCGGACCAGTCCTGTGCATTTTCCCTGATAGGACTTTTTTGCATCTTTAGAAAGTTGTGTGTGTGTGTATGTGTGTGTGTGATACTCGTGTTAGTGTGTACCTGTGTGTACATGTGTTTTATGTGCCTGCGTCTGTATGTATTTCTGTGTGTGGCATATCTGTGTGTCTATGTGTTATGTGTGTCTGTGTCTGCGTGTCTCTGTGCCTTTGTGTATGCATGTATGTTTGTATGTGTGTGTATGTCTTTGTATTGCATGTGTCTATGTGTGTATGTTTATAGATGTACGTGTATATAGTATCTATGTGTATATTTGTGGTGTCTAGTGTCTGTATGTGTCTATATGTATATGTGTGTCTAAGAATGTATGTGTGTCTATGACTGTATGTGTGTCTATCTGTGTATGTGTGTGCTTGTATGTCTATGTGTGCATGTATATGTCTATGTGTGTAGATGTGTCTGTATATATGTGCGTGTCTCTGTGAGTATTATGTATGTGTCTGCATGTATGCATGTGTGTACATGCGTGTATGTTTGTCTATATGTGTCTGTTTATATGTCTATGTTTGTGTCTACGTGTATGTGTATGTCTGTATGTGCATGTGTGTCTGTGTGTGTGTATGCCTATATGTGTGTTTGCATGTGTGCATGTGTGTGCATATATATGTGTCTATAGGTGTGTGTCTATATATGTCTGTGTGTTTGTGTGTATGTGTGTATGTCTGCACACGTGTATGTGTGTGCGTGTGTGGCGGGGGTTCTGAGGCACTGGAATGTGATTTTCCAGTCTTCTCTGGCGATTGACCCATTGTATTCAGGATGCCTTTTACTAATGTAGTTGCTCCTCCCTGATCAACTGCATCTCCTTGGCTTAACAGGAGAGCATCTTTCTGGCTGAATTTGTCTTCATGTGCTGAGAAAAGCCCTGCTGTTCAGGCCCCACTGGAGGAGGGCAAGCCTCAGCCATATCTGCTTCCCAGAGGAGTAGGAGGCCTGTTGTTCACTCCCCCGTGTAGCCGGAGCCTCCAAGAGGAAGGAGGAAGAGGCCCCACGCACCTTAGTCGGAGATCCCTTGCAGGGCGTCACCTCTGGACTATTTGGACTTCGACCCAGAGCACGTTCCCCTTCCTGACTCTGCACGTGCTCACTTGGGCTAGGCTGGGTCTTCTGTGGGATTCTGAAATTTTCCATGGAGAGCTCCTGAGAGATGGAGCTTCACTCGGAATAGCTGGCTTGAGTTTTCTGCTTTGGTAGCTGTGAGTTTTGGGGTCCTAGTGGGCTTCTCTTGTGGAAGATCTGCACTGAGGGGATGGAGTGGATGTCTTCGCACCTGTCAGTGGAGCCTGAGGTCTTAGAGAGAGACCAAGTAAGTAGAAAAGTAGTGAAGTGTCTAGAAAAATATGCAGGTGTAGCCTTCACCTGTTTGTGCAATACCTCATCTCAATATCCAATCAGGTACCGATGGGTTACCGTCAAAGCCCTTATGGTGAGAACAGGACTCCTTGCTATGCCAATGCAGCTGTTACACGTATGATGATAATTGTGCTTTCAAAAGACAGAAGTTCAACTGAAACTTGTTTGAAGTAATAAATAAATAAAAATGTTTCATTTCCCAGTGTAAAATTCGGGAATGGGAGTTGGCTTCAGAGATGGCTGATGTCAGGTGCTGAATGACACCAGGAGAACGCCATCTTTCCCATCTCTGCTCTGTGCTCCTCCACACCGGCACAGCCATAGTTAATCTTTCTCCAGGCAGTGCAAGATGACCACCAGAAGTACCAAGATTCTCTTTTGCCTGCCTACAAATCTCCATGGAAATAGCAGGCCTTGCTCATGAAGACACCAGCTCAATTCTCAGGGCGGATTCTCAGTGGCCCAATTTGGGTCACAGCTCATCCTGAACCAGTCACCGTGATGGAAAGTTGAAAAGCTCTTGAAAGTGTCCACATATAGCTTCTGTGTCTGCCCTTAGGGCCCAGCTGTAGGGTCAGCTCTGTCATGGATGGAGAATTGGGGAGAGGGAGGGAAGATTGGTTCATCAACAACATGGAAAGGAAGAAAGAGAGAATGGTTGTTAAGAGTCATTTCTACAGATTCCAAGTCTTCAGACTTTGGGGAAATTCCCATCCCTGCTGGCTATCAGGCCCTTTCATAGGAGGCCCTGGTTGACCTCTCTAGCCAGGTGTCCCATGGTGTGTAGCCCCTCTGTGATACAGGCCCTTCAAACCTCTTGCTGCCCTCAAGATGGGCCATATACTTTTACACCTACAGGCCTTTGTTCATGGGCAGCCATCTGTATGTAAAACCTGTCTGTCCGTGGCCTTCACTGGTATCAGTTCATGCCCGGAAGAAAAATGCACCCATCCCTTGTAGCCCAGCTCCGAGAGCAGGCTCTCCAAATACCTTTTCCTCCGGCCATCTCCCATCAGTCACCTGACCCTCCTGCTTCTCCATGTTGAGTGTGATAACAAAATCCTTCACCAAGTGCCACTCTCTGTATGCAGCAAACTCTTAAAATACCGAATTCATATTGCGCACACAACATAGTGAATGGCACAGACCAGCTCAGTTGAGCCAAACTCCCTCGTGCTAAGGACTCTAAGCTTGTAGCCCAAGTGAAAGAGACAAGAAAATCAACAAGCAGAAGATTAAAATTCCAATTCCAGCGGTAGGACCGAGTTTCCTCTGCCTTTATCCTCTTTGATAACATAACAAGATCTAGGTGGCTATAATGTTTGCAAAATTAAGGCCCCAGATTGCCACAGAGGATGAAGAGATTTGATGGCTTGAATTAGCCCCCAAGGAGTTGTGAACTCTCTGGGGAACACCCAGGGCTTCATTTCTCAGGTGTCCCCACACACAGGCTATGAGAATGATAAAAGACAGACATTATCTACATTCTAAATACATATAGGTTAATGAAAAGATCACTATTTTCTGGTAATCCATAATTCTCCCAAGATAAAGGACTCCTTCCTGTATATTCAAGAGCCAATAGCCACTTGGACTGGAGTGGCCTTGATTTCAGCTCCTGGCTGTGTTTTGACATTTCAAATTTGTAGAGGTCATGTGTACAGCGGGAATGGCTTGCTAGAACACTGATGATAATATTCCTGGCAGGCTCAGGCGCTGGAAATTCCGGTTTCAAGATATCTCATTATCTGCAGGTGCCATAATGGGAAGCTGAATGCAGAGCTGTCAATCATAGAGGAACATTTGGAAACGCAGCAGCCACATAAAAGCGTTCCCTGACTTACCCCCTCTGCTCGACGAAGGAGGGAAGGAAGCTCAAAGAAATCGTCTTGCAAGCAGTTCAGCGGCATCAAGAGGAACACAGCGGACTGAGTCATCTGATGTATAGGGTGCCCACTCACAGTCCCCATAGAGCGCCTTCCTGTCTCCAAAACTGAGCCTCAGGAAGCCATCCTTGCCTGCAGAGGTGCTGCGGGTTCTCCTGCCTCTTGACCTTGGGGTTTCACCAGGAAGGCCATGCCAGTGAAGACATAGTCTATTCACATCTAGATGCTATATGCAATTCTGGGCTACTTGCAAACTAATCCACAGAGCCTGACAGGTGAGGCGGGGGCTGGGGATGTGTAGCATGGATGTTTGAGAATACGAGATAGTTTTGTCACATGCAAATGGTACAGGGCTTTGCGGGGACTGGGAGATGGTGGAACCCTGATGGTTTTTCTGTCCTTGCTGTTTAGCCCCACGTTAGGGGGCTAGTCTTGAGACAGTCTCACAAATTCTCAAAATAAGCTCAGTTTGATGGGCTACAATTTATTCGAAAATAAGACCTCTGGCTTAAAATACTCGCATTCAGAAATGGAGCTGGTAAGTGGAGGGGACAGCACTGCCACTAAGCAAGGTTGTAGGCACTGACTTCTGGGTGGCTGGCCAGTGCTGGTGGTTTCTGCCCCACCGAAGAACAAGACTTAGAATTAAGGGATTTCAGAGCTGGCGTTTGGCAAGAATCCAGGGATGAGAATGAATGAACTTGATTCACTTTCACTCAGTGTGAAAATAACACACACAGAAAGACAGAGGCCACTAATGCAGACAGCTCCTGGGACAGACAGGAATTATACAAAGTGCAGGGGGCTGGGCAGGGCCCATCATGAACCCAAGGTCAGGAGCTCCTTCTATACCAGCATGTGCTACTTAACTCCAGCCAACTTTTGCCAGGGAGAAATGACTGGCCAAAACTGCCAACTGCTCAAAAGCAGTTGGAAATTCAAACTCTTATTTTCAGTTTCTTGAAAAATTTCTCATTTATCTAATTTAGAATTTTTTTTTTTTTTTTTTTTTTTTAAGATGGAGTTTGGGTCTTGTTGCCCAGGCTGAAGTGCAGTGGTATGATCTCAGCTCATAGAAACCTCTGCCTCCTGGGTTCAAGCAATTCTGCCTCAGTCTCCCAAGTAGCTGGGATTACAGGTGCCCGCCACTATGGCTGGCTAATCCTTTGTATTTTTAGTAGAGATGGGGTTTCATTATGCTGGCCAGGCTGGTCTCGAACCCCTGACCTCAGATGATTCACCCGAGGTCAAGCAGTTCTCCTGCCTCATCCTCCCAAAGTGCTGGGATTGCCGGCACGAGCCGCCATGTCCCTCCTTAAGAACAAACAATTTTTTTTAGAGTTTTAAGAACAAACAAATGACTGCAATTTGGACACTTCCAACTTACTACTTGTCCAGTAAGAACTAAAAGGTAGTTTTTCAAATGGTAGAATATCACTAGGTTATCTCTATAACCAGCCAATAATTATGTCCTAAATCCTTTTGTATTTTTCCTGTAAGAGGAAGTGACTTTATTTATATGAATGGCTTTCCTTTCACATACATTAATTTTTATCCCTGATTCCTTCTTTCCTTCCTTGCTTCTTCCCTCCCATTTCTTTCTTCCTCTCTCCTTCTTTCCTCAGTCTCCCTCTCTGTCTCTTCCCTTTCTCCCTCCCTCTCTTCCTTTCTCCTTTCATCCCTTCCCCCTGTAGAATTGTTGAGCTCCAGTTGCATACCCGAGCTCTGCAAGTTGTTGCCAGAACAAAGGTGAATAAAGCTTTCCTTAAGCACCTCAGAGTCCAGTTGACAAGAGAGATCACCAAGGAGGTATTTGCTAGATGAAATGTATATCCCAGAGGCCATGCTCCTGGTCCAAAGAGAAGAGGCTGCAAGACGCTAAGGGGGTGGTGATTGTTTGAGGACCGCACCTCTGTCATGTGCTCCTGAGGACAGCATAGGCAGGAAGTGACCACCATGGAGAATATACAAATGGCATTTGTTACTCCCCAGTGACATTCACAAAGGTCACTTACAACATGCTTAGGACAATGTTGCTGGTTTTGGGAGTGGGATATTTTCCCTGTGAAAGATAAGTTTCCAGGGAAGGGTAGGGGTGGAGGTGAGCAGAAAGAGAAGATGGGAGAGCTGGTCTTACCCTCCCACTGGGCTTTCCATGGGAAGAGGAATTAGCCTTGCTGTATGAGACAGGACAGAGGAGGGAATGGAAGCTTAAGCTCACTATTCAAGCCTGAGAATTTGGAAGTCAGCACACCTACGACCAGATCCCAACGCAACCACTAACAATGAGATCTTCAGCAAATTGACTCTTTAAGCCTCAGTTTCCTTCTCTGTAAAACCATCCCTGTCTCATAGGGCTGTTGATATAAGTGACAGAGATGAAATGTGTGGAAGGCTGAGCTCAGTGCTTGGAATGCCAAAAGTATTCAGTCAGTGGAGAAACAGAAAGTTCATCTTTATATTAAGTCAAAATCTAACAGTCAGCTGTCTAAACAGGAAGCATGGCTTGCATGTGGAAGTAGTGAGTTCCCTATTATTAGAAGTGATCAAGCGAAGAGTAAGTGACTAGTTGGCGGGGACCCTTTTCTTTATATAGGGCTTGAAGAATATTTATATAGCTTTAAGTTTCTTTTCAATTCAGAGCCTCCGGGATGCTTAGAAAAGAACTGGGTACCCTAAAATTGTAACCTGTGTGTGCGTGTGCGCCAGAACACGTGTGAATGCACACACAAGACAGCCAATGGGATTTCTAGCTATTATGGTAACTTTTAAAAGAAATCGAATGAATGAATAAATAAAATAGCTTTAATTTTAAATTTAAATATCAATCACAGATATCTGACTATACCTTTTCTCCCCTGTTCACTTCCAAAAGCAGGCAGACCCTGCGATACAGCTGCATGAGATCAGCAGGGGCTACAGTAACCGCAGAAGCCTGGAGTTCCCTGGACTCACCAGCTGTGCCAAGGGAAGGATGTAATTCTTAAGAGTAGCAGCCGGCTGGAGAGGAGGGCATGTCCAGGCCTTCTCTGTTTCTCTGTGGACAGTTTTACTTACCTTTGTGTCTGTCCCTGAAGATGGCTTACCTGGGCCCCATATTAGATTGCTCTGTGTTGAGTCATGAAGAAAGCACTTTACTATATAAGAAGGAGAGAGGGAGGGATGCTAGATGAGATGTTTGGTTCTTTCCACTGTCTTTGAGCCTTTGATAGCATTGGCTTGTTTCCCTTTCATTTTTACGTCTTATACTCTCCCATCCTGCACTGACAGACACGTTGGTGACTGACAACATGTAGGTTGTCTGTTACTAAGATGTTTACATGTGAACAAAAGTAAAAGTCCTAGGCCATCATCATATCCAGTGGTGGAATTGCTGGTTGGCAGGGGAGGTGTTTAAGGAAATTCACTGGCAGAGAGAAACCGGAACAGGGTATTTGCTAAAGCTTTTGAAAGTTTCCCATGCAGACAGCTGTTTGGTTTGCCAATGAGTGAAGATTTGAGTTCCTGAGAGACCAATAGAAGAAACTACTTAAAGTTTTTTTTTTTTTTTTTTTTTTTTAACTCTGTTGGTTGGGTTTTACTCTGATGTTTCAAGAAATTGTCACTTTACTTAAAACTGTATGCAATTGGATTTATTAAGTAATTTTCACTCAGGAAGAGCCATCCCAGAGACTCTTTGGATGTTGACCCAGTGACAAGGGTGTCAGGTAGAATCCTCAGCCCCCCTTTTCCCCCCCAAAATCCCTCTCTCACCCACTTCATCCCCACCCCCGCCTCCAAACTCTATTCCAAAGGTGGTCTGTTGTGCCCCTTTATATCTGGAATGATACCTCGCGGTTGGCGAAAGTATTTTCACTTTTACTTGTCTTTATTTCTCCCTTTTTGCATTTAAAAAAACGTGTTAAAAGAGTGGATTCTGAGTATGCCTTCAGCTAGCCGCATGTGCTTAAGCAAGTTATTTAACACCTCTGCACCACAAAAATGAAGCCAAAGGTAACTAGCTCAGAGAGCCACTGTGAAGAGCAGGTGGCACAAAGTGGGGAGCCTGTAACACCATCAAGTGCAAATGGATGAAGGTCGCTCCCCTCTCTCCTCCCTCCCTCCCTCTTCTCCCCCTCCCTATCTCACTGCCTCCCACCCTCTCTTCCATCTCCTTTCTTATTTGCCTTGTTCCCTTCCTTCTTCCTTCCCTCCCTCCCTCCCTTTCTTCTTTCCTTTCTCCTTTCTCTCTTTCTTCCCTCTTTTCAAGAAGAATTAGTAGAGACTGGACATGGTGACTCGCGCCTTTAATCCCAGCACGTTGAGAGGCTGAGGCAGGAGGATCACTTGAGGCCAGGAGTTCAACACCAGCCTGTGCAACATAGTGAGACCCTCCTCTCTATAAAAAATTAGATGGGCATGGTCTCACACACCTGTAGTCCCAGCTAATCAGGACGCTGAGGTGGAAGGATCCCTTGAGTAGGGGAGTTCGAGGCTGCAGTGAGCTATGATCTGACAGTACCACTGTACTTCAGCCTGGGCAACAGGGGAAGACCCTGTCTCTAATAAAGAAACAAAAAGAGGAATGCATAGGATACTCCAATTCCAGCCAGAAAACAAGATCAGGTGATCATTATGCTCTACCGTGACTGATAAAGAACCTGAAAGCCTGTCATCTCTTTATATCAATGTGAGATGTGGTCGAGAATAACACTGCCACTTCTCACTCAACCTCAGCACCCCCAGCTCACAGGCTGCTGCTGCCTCCTCCCCTGCCTTCGCCCCAAGAACAGCCCAGCCTCAGAAGGAAACCTCAGAACGTGGGGCTCCAGAAGGGAACGCCCTGCAATATCAAAACCTTCCCACAGAGACTAACTGTCGCACATTTTACTTTTAAATGTTTAAACTGATTGATTCTTTCTGACAACATTTTCTTAAAGGCTTTTCTTCCCCTTCCTAATGAATTTGAATCTTTCCGAAAGACCCGTGATTGACAGAGCCAGACTGAAGCTTTAAGTTTCTCTGAAGACTGAGGGTTTGCAGCAGCCTGTCTGGGCCAGGTAAGCAGGGAAGAAAGGGGAGGAAAATGCCCAGGTACTTTGTGTTGATTTTGGAAGATGGCCTCGGTTACTTGGTACTGCTCTTGGGAATTGTAACTTTTTTCCTGTCTGAGTTGCTGGTGTCCTACATGGCAATGTTGCAGTCAATGCTAGACAGCGTGTACTACATGTACTATGATAGTCTTATAAAATGATAATGGGGCTGAAAAATTCCTATCTCCTGGTGACACCACGTCATAGCCATCCTAAGGTTGCAGCACAAGGCATCACTTGCATTTGTGGCCATGCTGCTGTGAACAAGCCTATTCACTGCCAGTTTTATTAAAGTCTAGCACATATAATTATGTTCTAGTTTTCTTAACGTTTTGCATAGCATAGCAATGTTTCGGTCAAAGGCAGACAGCACGTACCACGATGGTCTCATGAGATCGTACTGGGGAAGTCAATGTATGCTGCTTCCTGAGTTGGCTAACTGTGGATGTTAATCTCTGGAAAAAGATCACCTTTCTTATCATCTTAATCATCAGGAATGATTTATTAAGAATATATTGGTACCTGGCTGGGCGTGGTGGCCCACGCCTGTAATCCCAGTACTTTGGGAGGCCCAAGAGAATGGCCCATTCAAAGGCAAGTTCTCTCTCCTGGCTGGGGTTAGGTCTTTGGAGGGTGCTGTCGCATCCAGGCTTGACCATTACTAGATCGAAGGATCAAGAAGGTCCTGAAGGACACGTTGACATGTTTGTGATTTATCCTACAGCCGGGGGAGAGTTAGTAAGCATTTCCAATGAAGAAGGTGGAATGCACCCACCCACATTCAGACAGCCATCTCTGGTGGTGTCATGGTGGAGGGCACACAGGAAAGGAGAAACACCAGAGGCAAGATGGCAAAGAGAGCAGACAACAGCAGGCCCCCTGAGTGCCATGAATGGCGTGAGCTTGTAGTGTAGGGTGGGTAGATACCAGAGGGCTCAGGGAGACACTTTGTTTTCTTTTGTCCATCAACCAAGCCAGGAACCAATGGTATTTGTCATGACCATGTTGACTTAGGTGTTGCCTGAGCATGCAAAGAGAGGGATGTAACTGATAAAACTTTGAGTTTGGCGTTTAAGAGAGAGATCAGGGCTGATCTTGCTTCAACATCAATGTCCTTCATTCTGTTTAACAATGAGATGAGTCTGGCCACTTTTGGCTTAGCCAGTTATTCAAACTGGGACTGCACTAATCGACATGAATCCCATGGATTCAGACTCGGGTGTCTGCCTAGACTTGAATTCACACCTTCCTCCATGCCCACCTCTGTCTTCTATTCTTCTGTCAGTTCATTGTCTCATTGTTTGACCAAGTGGACTAGTTCCTTCTGTCTGACTAGAGTGAATCTTTGCTTAAGAGGAGAATGCCCATAGCATGCAATTTTCCCACATGCACACTGCCGGCCACAGAGCACTCAGGAGTTCAGTGTATCACTATTTTCAGGAGTGGCAGGATTGACGACTTTTCCTGATGTATAGATTTGCAGGCTTGCCTGTCCTCCACAGAGGCTAGAATGCGCACGGATGAAGAAAGGCTTCTGCTTTCTCCACATTTTGGGGTGAGTTGTTTTGTTGGATCAGACATAGTGAGATCATCCAGTGTCAGTTTTTAATTTACAGCATTTAATTATGCATTTCATTTGCAGCAATTACAAAAAAAAAAAAAAAGTGATCCACACACTGCCTAGCTTGTGTTGACTGAATTGGTATTAAAAAATAAAAAATAAAAAATAAAAACGGAACTGGCAGGCATCGTCTGTGTGAGGCCTCCAGCAAATACCAAAGCCGTTTTGGAGTCAGCTCGGCTCACTCCTGCCACTCTCCGGTTGTCCCTTCCTTCCTGATTGCTGAAGGCTCCTGCCACCTGATTATGGTTTAAAATAAGATGGGGCGAGCAGCATCCCCCGCTCCACACTTGGTGCCTCCATGGGACTTCACCCAGAAATACAGGCAGGAAAAAAAAATAAGAAGTTGCCAGAGACCCCATTCACTTCCCTAGGATATATTTGAACCAAAAGGAAAATGAGTGGGAAGGGCTCCCACCAAAGGACCCTCACGGGAAAGTGGCCTTCAGAGAACCCTAAGGAAAGCTGGGCCAAGATCCAGGGTGGGTCATAGCCTGTCTCACAGGCAATACTTCAGACAGTGACATGACGAAGCCAGTAAATTACAGATTCTTCCAGGAATGGTGCCAGAGAACTTGACATTTCACATTCACTCACACATTGGCAGCTGTCACCATGGGTAACAAAATGCAGGCACTACCTACGGCTCAATAGGTAGCCCGTCCCCCAGAATTTAGAGGCACCCATCTTAATCTCTGACAACCCACTGTCCAGGGATGTGAGTCCAAATGCAATTTTGATGAAACATTACTGTATGCATGTAACAGGAACGGTGTTTTGAAGGTGCAAGTTGGGTTTAGCACAGAAACTAGAAAGCAAACAGCTTTGGACTGCGTAGGTTTGGTGTCAGATATTTCTGCATTCTTCAGTGTGAGTTTTCTTATTACTGAAATTGGGCATTGTCATTGAGGATAATGTAGAAAATTCAGTTGAAGGATACGAGGAAAAATTTGAAAACATCTATGGCCTCACTGCCCAAATATAATTATCATTATTATTATGAATCTTTTGAGAGAGATATATAATGTATAGAATAATATATAATTAAGAAATATATAACACAAGGTAGTATTATATATATTACACACACACACACACACACACACACACACACACACACACACACTCCTTCTTTCCTAAACATTACAACACCATTAGTCATAAGAACATCATAGCTTCTTTATTTGGGAATGGGGTGACACTAATGAATTGAACAGAAAAATGTTTTCAGCCCGCAATAAGATGTTCATTTATCCATTCAATTTCGTTCTGATTGGTTTTTCTAAATCACAATTAAAGTTATCAGAAGTTGAATCTATGCTTTCTTTACGTCCAATTACTCTTGGCCATGAGCAGTGATGCCCCACTTCCCGGGAGCTCCTGCCTCTCCAAATCCCATATTTGTAATCTTGATTGCAATATCTTCAAACACTTTTAATGATTGACAGCCTATCTTTGAAGCACATCAAAGAATATTAGGTATTGGTCTGCATTTCCTATTTGATTAAACTTCTGAATAACCTTTTTTTCCCCTTAATCCAGTCATGTCTTCTTTGAAGAGAAGGGTCTTCTCTTGAAAGTCAGTTGGAGGCTTTAGGCAGATAGATGTTTAATACCCGAGAGAAAGTCCTTCATGAGTTTGACACCTAGAGCTCTCCTAACTATGGAATTCCTTGGCCTATTACTGGGAATCTGGCAGTTTCCACCACCTTTGTCCAGCGTGTGACGTTCAGTCTTCTTTGTCCACAAGAACATTTTGGGTCCATTGTGAATCATGGTAGCATCTTTCTAAAGGCATAGTAATTGACAATCACAGATCTGAGTGTCAGGCGGCTCTCTTCTGTGCTGCCTTAAAGTTAATGACTCTCAGCAGAGATGAGATGCTGACAAGCAGTTATGCTGCTGTCCAGGGCTAAGTTAGCTTGTGCATGGATGATAACAACAGTGTCACGTGTTACTCACCAATGCACAGCCAGGTGCTCTCAGTGATGACTTCAGGGGCCGGTGCTTGAATCAGCGCTCACGATTTACCAGTGTGGGAGCTTTGGCAACTCTTGAAACTGGATTATGGGGACTTCATGAGAATTAAATGAAGGAAGTCACAAGGGCTTAGCCTCAAGCCTGACATGTGGCACAGGCTCAATAACCATTTCCTCCTCCACCACTACCACTACCAGCAGCAGCAGCAACTATTTGTTGAGTGCCTGCTCTGTGCTGGTGTGTTAGGCTGTTCTTGCACTGCTCTAAATAAATACCTGAGACCTGAGTCTGGGTAATTTGTAAAGGAAAGAGGTTTAATTGGCTCATGGTTCTGTAGGCTATACAAGCATGAAACCAGCATCTGCTCAGTTTTGGTTGAGAACTCAGGAAGCTCTCACTCACGGTGAAAGGTGAAGGGGGAGTAGGTGTCTCACATGCAAGAGCAGGAACGAGAGAAAGAGTGTGTATGAGAGAGATGTCATTCACTTTTAGACCACTAGTTCTCCTGTGAACTCAGAACAAGAGCTCACTCACCATCAAGAGGATGGCTCAAGCCATTTATGAGAGATCCACCCCCATAATCCAAATACTTCCCACTGGACCCCACCTCCAGCACTGGAGTTATATTTCAACATGAGATTTGGGCAGTGATATGGTTTGGATCTGTGTCTTCGCCCAAATTTCATGCTTAATTGTAATCCTCAATGCTGCAATGCTGAAGGTGGGGCCTACTGGAAGGTAATTGGATCGTGGCAGGGGGGGTTTCTTTTTTCTTTTCTTTTTTTTTTTTTTTTCTTTTTTTTGAGACAGAGTCTCATTCTTTTTGCCCAGGCTAGAGTGCAATGGCACAATCTTGGCTCACTGCAACCTCTGCCTCCTGGGTTCAAGCTATTCTCCTGCCTCAGCCTCCTGAGTAGCTGAGATTACAGGCATGTGCCGTCACACCCAGCTGATTTTGTATTTTTAGTAGAGATGGGGTTTCACCATGTTGGCCAAGATGGTCTCGAACTCCCGACGTCAGGTGGTCCATCACCTGCATGGCAGGGGTTTCTCTTGAATGGTCGAGCACCATCCCCCTTCGTGTTGTCATTGTGTCAGTGAGTTCTTGTGAGATTCAGTTGTCTAAAAGTGTGTGGCACTTCCTCTTTTTCTCTCTTCCTCCTGACCCGGTCATGTGAAGTGCTCGCTCGCCTCTTGCCTTCCACCATAACTATACATTTCCTGAGGCCTCCCAAGAAGCTGAGCAGATGCCAGCATCATGCTTCCTGTACAGCCTGTGGGATCATGAGCCACATTAACCTCTTTTTCTTCTTCATTACCCACCCCCAGGTATTTCTTTATAGCAGTGTGAGAATAGACTCATACAGGCAGCAAAAAATATCCAAACTCTATCAGCGGGTCTTTGTGCTCAGTGCTTTGTCTATAGGAACCTATGAAATCCTCACTATTGCCTGATAAGGTAGGTGCTGTTTGTTTTTCTTTTTTTGAAATGAAGTTTTGCTTCGCTCTTGTTGCCTAGGCTGGAGTGAAACGGTGTGATCTCTGCTCACCGCAATCTCTGCCTCCTGGGTTCAAGCAATTCTCCTGCCTCAGCCTCCCAAGTAGTTGGAATTATAGGCTTGTGCCACCATGCCTGGCTAATTGTGTATTTTTAGTAGAGATGGGGTTTCTCCATGTTGGTCAGACTGGTCTCGAACTCCTGACCTCAGGTGATCCGCCTGCCTCGGCCTTTCAAAGTGCTGGGATTACAGGCATGAGGCACAGCACCCGGCCAGGTGCTGTAGTCAGTCATATTCACAGATGAAGAAACCAAGGCATGGAAGAATTAAATAATTTACTCTTTATTATATAGCTAGTAAATGGCAAAGCCAGTATTTAATTAGCTGGATTAGCTCCAGAGCCCAAAGCGCTAAGTATATGTAGCATACATGCACATTCACCTGAGTCTGAATCATTTATGTTTCAATATTATACCACCCTCTCCATCTTCTCCAGGTCTCCGCAGCTTCCTCCAGCACATACTTTGTCATGGCAGCACAGTGACCTACTGTGTGGCAATGACATCATAGTTCTTAGGTGCTGCTTTCTTGTTGGATTTTAGCTCATTGGCAGTGTTTTCATGTTTTAAATAACGCTCTGGCAAAAACCTTGTGGTTAAGTCTTGACACACCTCTATGGCTATTTCTTTGGAGTAAACTGCTGGACATGGTATTGCGTGCAGGCTGAACAACTCTCCAGGTTTGCCTAGAACTAAGGGTTTTCCAGGGACAAGGGACTTCCAGTGCTAAGCTGGGATGGTCACGGACAAGCCAGGATGGTTGGGTCACAAGACAATTTTACACTTAGGTTATTTGCTGACATGTTCTGATGGTTGTACCTTTCCTTAACATCGGGTTGATGGTTTGCTGTAAAGATGGAGAAGGGAGAAAAGGTCGTCTTTCTAGATGGCTTTGGGGAGTGGTCCCAGCCTGTGTCCATGAGATAACCATGGGAAATACGGATATTCAGGTTTAAAAGTTATCAACTGAGGGACTGAGGAGAGGATGCAATGAGAGTTAAAGGAATCAATGAACATGAGAAGAATCTTGATAGCAAGGCAGACCATGTCAGAAGAGTCAGAACAAGAAACAGGTAGGGACAATATCATGACCACTGTATGAAGACACAGCCCGTGTGTCCAAGGATGGGGAAGTATTTGGGGGGCTGACATCAAGAGAACTGCATCCATTTTTGACGTCAGCAAAGCGGACTTTTCCATGCTAGGCTCTCCTTTTCTTCAGTTCCATTCAGCAAACATTTATGAAATTCATCTTCCATGCCTGCGCTCTGTCCGTTGCTGGAGGTAGAAAAGGATACAAATGGCCTCTAGGAGGGTCCTTCTCAGGAACTGTGGTACCCATTCTTGCCAGATACCCAGAGTCATTTATCCATTTATTAAGCAAATATTTACTGCTGCTGGGAATATGGCAGCTTCCTGGGATTTATAGCCTTCCTCTTTCTCCTCCTAAAAACACTCTTAGGAGAAACGCTCTCCTTTCAATTTTGGTGAAAGAACCATTTTCAAAATGAACATCATTTTAAAAGTATCTCACCAACAAAGCAAAACATGTCTTTTCCTTGTTAAAGATGTTTCAAAACCTAAGAGCAGAAAGGGGATATTTGGGGGATGGAGGGCTCTCTTGCCCAAGTCAGCAACCCACACCAAGGCCACCCCTCCTATGGGAATAGCCAAACACTCTCATAGAATGAAAACACAGGCCTGTTTCTTCCCAGGTCTGGGCGAAGAAAAGAACTCCAGACTGAGGGTGATGTGCAGGTCGCTGGCCTGGAGGAGCGGTGGGCGAGCAGCTGGCGGAGGGCTGGGCTCTGACCCTTCCCTGTAGAGCCCTCCTTTAATACTGAACCCTCAAGGGTCATGCCAGGTACGTCATTCCCAATATTTCCAAATTACACATTTCTGACCCTGCAACTGAAAGCAAGAAATTCACTCTGACAAAAGCTAGTATTCACTGAGAGCATCCATCACTGGGAGCTGAAATTTCAGGGAATTTTTTATTTTAAAAAAAGTGCCAAGTTTTTCCATTCCCAGCCCCTCAGTGATTTGGAAAAACGTCCGTCCTCCAGTGAGAATGTCTGTCCTGATTGCATTTGATGCTGACGGGACTCTGCAGGGCTTAGCCAGGTAGGAACCAATGTGGTCCCTATCACCTATGGACAGGAAAAGGCTGCGCCCCACACTCCATCCTCCACAACTGCGTTAGAAAACGCACTCCAGGATTCTGGAAGCACGTGTCTCGGCAGAACGCTTACTGTAACTGCCTCTCTGAATTCATTCTTCCCTGAAGGAGGGTGTGTCACTCAGGGCTCTCTGTCCAGAACCAGGTCAAAGATGCCCCATGTGCCCTTCTCTTCCCCTGCACACCTGCCCAGCCCAGCACAGGAAGTCAGAGACAGACACACATTTGGAAGAACAGAGCATCTGGCTTGGACAAAGAGTAGTTTGGGGCCAGGGCTCCATGCATAAAGCTGTTTTGTTTTAGAAAGGCAGTCGTGGAAATACCTGACTTCATGAAGCTTTATAATGCAAGCATTAATACATCCGTTTCTGCTGAGTAGGCATGAAGGCAGCCTCCACCTCCCAATCTCCACCCTAAGGTAATTGCAGTCCAGCACTGATGGGGCTTATTCAATCTAGCGAATAACCCTCTTGTCTTCTCTCCCAACATCTCTTCCTGTCCTTAGACCAGGAGACTGTGGCCGATTTCTTGTTTCTCTCTGGCCACCAGGAGCCAATCCAATGGACCATCTCATCCTGGCCCCAAACAAGCACAGAGGTCCCTTTCTCCTCACAACTTGTCCACTGTGTGGCAAATGTGAAGGATGGATTCCCCAGTTTCCACCCCAGAGGACTGGACTTTGGAGAGAGAGTCAGAAAACAGTGAGTTCTCCTATACTCCTGGTATTGATTTTGAAGACCACTGGATGCCCGCTCAGGTGTGCTCTCTGTCAGTACTTGGGGACTTGGCCTTGTTACAGATGGGTCATAACTAAAAGTGATTTAGGCTGAGCGTGGTGGCTCACACCTGTAATTCCAGAAAGTTGGGAGGCTGAGATTGGGGGATCACTTGAGCCAGGAGTTCGAGATCAGCCTGGGCAACATAGTAAGACCATGTCTCTATAAAAATTTGAAATATTAGCTGGGTGTGGTGTTGTACACCTGTAGTCCCAGCTACTTGGGAAGCTTTGGTGGGAGGATTGTTTGAGTTCTGGAGGTCAAAGCTGCAGTGGGCTCTGATTGCACCAGTGTACTCCAACCTGGGCAACAGAGCCACACCCTGTCTCTAAAAAGAGAAAAATCCGAAACATAAAACGAAATCAAATAAGTCAAAGGGAATCATAGGACTTGTGTGCAGACACTCCCAGGAAGATTGTGTACATGCTGTATCACACCAATTTGCATTTCTAACACCCCTATACCTCAGAGTTCACGTCCGCACTGAGCTCCATCTGTGCTGGGTACCGAGCGAGCCTCCTAAGAAATGTAGCCTGACTTGCCTGTCCCCAGAAACCTTAGAGGTGCGTCTCCTCCCAGGCACTGTGATCAGAATACCAAGGGCAGAAAGCATCTCTCAAAGCAGCCACAATTTCTAGAGCCCATGAAGCAAGATGTGGCACCATGAGTCCCTCCTGTCCAGCTTTGAACAGATAGTGTTGAGAATGAGCCTGTTGTCCACAGACAGCTCCTTTGTTGGAGTGAGAAGCCAGGAAATAATGACCATACAGCGACTGTTAACATTTATGGAGAATGTCGTGCAAGCTGCATACTGTCAGTGATTGCCTTTCAAACCTCAGGGATAGAAAACACCATTCTACCTTCCTAGGCAGGAAACCAAGACTTACAGAGGCAAAGAAACTTCTTCAGGGTCTCTTAGCTAATGAGAAACGGATCTGGGACGCCTCATGCAGGTACGTGGTCACTGTGCCATCCTGCTTGTCCTCAACTTAGAGGCCCTCAAAGCCCAGCTAATGGCAGAGATTGTGAATCACTTAATTTTTGTGTGTGTGTGTGTGTTTTAGAATGAGCTATAAATGGCTGGCATTTGGAAATCAAAATCGACATCATCGGAAGTATAAAAATAATGAGGTGGGTGGTAAATGGCACACTGGCGCATGTGAGCACTTTGCACAACGAAGGGAGGCCATTTGGAGCCAACAAAGAAATGGCTTCTCTACAGTCACAGATCAAAAAACGATATTCAGCATTAGGCGAAGGCAGCTTTTAAGCAGTTTCACTTATTGTCAAGCTTCCTTTTGATTACGGCAAGTAAGTTTTCCTTTAATGGGGGAACTCTTATAAAAGGGAGGAAGGGTGAATGAAACGAGCTTGGCATACTGGTGCAAATGAGGTTTCCGGGAGGCCTGTTCCCCGGCCCAGGGCCCATGAGGTCTGTCTTCATGTTTCTGGGTGTTTGGTAGGGCTCTCTGCGGAGCGGGTCTCCGTGGCTGACCATCGAGGTAGCTTATTATCTCCCAGAAGCACATAATGTGTTCACCAAGTGACGGCATTACAGCAAGCCCCTAAATTGTATTTGGACAAAGAATAATTGAACGCTGGACAGAATAACAAATGCCCCGGTCAAGTTTGCTTCATGGGTTTATCGTGTTGTATTAACATGATAGAAATATGAATACTTAAATCTTATCTCAGGTATAGTTTATAACTGCATTAATCATCTACTGTATTATATATTTTTCATGTCAGTAAGATTGTGGGGAAAAGATTCAATTTTCACAGCACAGTCAGAGAGTGTGTTTTAGATAAGTAAGAGGCCAGGATTAAACCACTGCAACATGGCTTTCAATTGCGGGCCCTGTAAAGGGAAGGTTAGCACATATCAAGCAATATTAAGCAGGATCATTTGGGCTTTGGAAAAATAAATCACCAGGCTACTCAGCGTCATTGTCTTGTTTAACGGAATCGGGTAAGAGCAGCCCTTTCACTTACATAAGAGAGGTCCAAACCAGGCCCGTAGGACTACTCTTTGTCCAAGTCTGGTGCTCTGTTCTTCCAAATGTGTGTCTGTCACCTATTTCCTGTGCTGGGCTGGGCAGATGTGCAGGGGGAGAGAAGGGCACATGGGGCATCTTTGACCTGGCACTGGACAGACAGCCCTGAGTGGCACACCCTCCTTCAGGGAAGAATGAATTCAGAGAGGCAGTTACAGTAAGCGTTCTGCTGAGACACATGCTTCCAGAATCCTGGAGTGTGTTTTCTAACGCAGTTGTGGAGGGTGGAGTGTGGGGCGCAGCCTTTTCCCGTCCATAGGTGACAGGGACCACATTGGTTCCTACCTGGCTAAGCCCTGCAGAGTCCCGTCAGCATCAAATGCAATCACGACAGACATTCTCACTGGAGGACGGACGTTTTTCCAAATCGCTAGCTTCAATCCGTTCTGAGGGGCTGGGATGGGAACGCTTGGCATTTTTTAAAATGAAAAATTTCCTGAAATTTCAGCTCCCCGTGATGTGGTTCTAAAAGCCCTGTAAGAGGGCTGTCATGGTTGGTTGTACCCTTAAAGCTTTCCTGTTTGCCCAGCAAAGTGAAGCAGAGGTCGCGACACAGAGCAACTTATTTTTCAAAGTTTAGGAACAAATCAAAACAGCAGGCCACAGAATAGAAAGGTGAGATTGCAAAGACACAAATCACTTCCCAGTCACAAAAATTGCCAAAAAATAGCAGCTTGCAGCTGTGCACAGCGGGGGCAGAAAACATTAAACACATGTTAAATAACAAATAGGAGACTTAAATATAGCTAAAAATGGACCTTATTCTGAATAAATCATGCAAGCTGCATCTTAACCGTCCTGAGAAATGTAATGGATCATGTGAAATCTGCCAAATTTGTATTAAAAAAAAAATCAATAGCGTGTGTGCCTCTGCTTCTAAAATGACACCATGTTCAGCTCAGGGAAGGCGTTCTGTGCTTCCGCTGTCCCCCCACCCTCCCGCCCCGCCACCACCTCCCACCACCCATAAGACTACAGCTGGATTTAAGAAATTTCACTTTAGTTAAGACAAGCAAGACATGCATTTGAATAAGTCTATTTTTTTTTTTTTTTGGTGGATAAAAACTATTTAACATTCACTTTGCACTGCCTTAGCATTTCACAAAATTGTTCCCTCTTTCTTTTGAACATGTAAAGGAGTTGGCTCATCTATTCTGAACCGTTTTTTGAAAACCGCAGAAGTTCATTTCTTCGATACTTCTCATCCATTTTTAGCCTCTACTAAGACATAGCCATCGCCACACGGTCAAAGAGGTTTTTATGCCATCTCCTTCACTGCCTGTCGGGAGGGGGTGGCTGGGGGCAGGGCATTGCCTCTTGTGACAATAAGGCTAAATAAATCTCCAGGCAGAGTATTCAAATCAATCCTCCTGGCAAGTCTCCTTCTCTTGAAATGTTTGCTGCCTATATATTTCTGTCTTCAGATTATTTCCAAGTCCGTTGGCTTGCCTTCAGCACTTAGGGTCATATTTTGGTTTATCCTGTGTGTGTCTCACTTTGGAGATTAACGCACCTTCATAAGGCAAGAGGGAACGGCGATGAGAGACTTTTGAAACTCTGCCTTTATATTGCCACAATAGTCCAGGGTTTGCTCCAGCACGCATGCACTCACACTCACACAAATGCCTGTGCACACATGCATCACACACTTGCATGTTCCTTAGCATGGAAAGGTAGTCTGCGGCTGCACACTCATGGCAGTGGTGGAGTTCTACATCTGTACGGATATTTTTTGTCATCAGTGATCAGTTGCCAAGGAGTTTAATGTGAGGGACTGGGGTATGGTGTGGAGGAGAGCATTGTGATAACGCAGCCTGCCTCCTCACCGGGTAAAGGGGCTGCGTACACC